ACGGAATGTAAATCTCTTGTTTAGAGCAAATTTTGTTTCTGGCCCTTGGTTGAGCCTGGATGACCCTTTGGTGATCTTAGGGCTGGGCTGTTGGAGTGAGTCTGTTTGTCCATAGCAGGGAAAAATGTGAAGATCTCTTTCCAGTGAGCTGTGCCCTAAGCACACTGCTGGCAATAATTCCCTGTGGGAAACGTCAGCCTGTCCTGCCCCTGCTCAGGGGACTCCCCTCACGGACACGGGGCACTAACCCTGAGGGGCCTGTCCCCTTTGGGGGTTCAGGGTTTGTCACCGTGTGTCTCTGTTGGGGCAGCCGTTGGCCAGGCACGAGGAGGTCACTCACTGCCCTTGCTCCCAAGGCCAAGCAGGGGAAGACGCATCAAAAACTCATTTTTTATTGTTTTTTTTTTCCTAAAGGAACAGTAGAGTCATTCTGCCCATCATACTATTTCCAATCAAATATTTCCTTTCTTTTATTTCTGTCCTTAAGCCATGTGCAGCATTTTTAGGACCCTTTCATGAAATTCCCTAAGCTTCTCGGCAGACGGGGTGCCTGTTAAGCCCTTTGATGGTGCTGGGAACTCTGCTCTGCTGTTGAACTGTTTCCTGCTCACCTGTGTACAGACACTTGCTTTTCCTGGTAATCAGCTGAAATAGGCAAGGGATCCTGTTTCACTACACCTGTGAGAAGGGAGGGTAATGAAATCCCTGTTGTGTGGGATATTTTCATTTTCTTGGTAGTCTTTAAAATATTTTTTCAGCTCTCCTCTTTTCTTCTGCATTATCAGGCTACCTGACCAAGTTATTGGCAATCTTGGATGCTTTATACGGCACCGTTGGGAAAGATGCTTCTGTTTTCCCCTTGATGTCCTAGGTGATCTGTGTGAAACATGAGTTCTCTGTCCTTTAGACTTCCGTCCTGATAAGTGTTGCTGCTTATCAGTCAGCTGCAGCACCAGAACTACAGCCAAGCAGACAAAAATCCTATTAACGTCCAATTCAAATTTAAATGTCATAATTAAAACAAGAAATGATAACTGATGTTACTATTAGCGACCTGAAACACACGCATTCATTTGATGCAAGGTAGTTCTGCAGTTCCCAAAAATCCATAAAGCTGCTCCGTATTTATAAGGCTTTCTACCATGTGCTTGCTCTCTGTAATCAAAAAGCATCTTTATGTGCTTTATCTGGATTCAACTCACATAACTCACTTCATTGTAACAGGTACACCAAGGTACCCAGCTGTCTCCTAGAAGAGAATATGTGCAATCAGAATTTGCTTATCCTTTTAGCCTATCACATGATATCTCAGGATGTACTGGGAATACTGGAAAGCCTATTTACCCTCAATTTGATGTGCTTCCCAGGCTTTGTTGCCTGTAGATACTTTAATTGGTGATACATCCTTTAAACCAAAACTTCCAAATCTTTTCCAAGGGAAAGGGTGATGGTAAGCAGGAGCAATTTTCTCATCTGGCTGAGTTTCTTTCAGGTATTTGGTGAGTGCATTCAAAGCTAGTGATTTGCCTTTCTTTCCGCCAGCTCTTTTACAATCCAGCTTGCTTTATGATGTTAGTAATGGTTAAGGAAAGTAATTTTCCACAATAAAATGCTATATTGTTTTCTGTGCTTCACAAGTAGAATAAAATGTAGGCCAAATGGATTTTTAGAATTGGAACTTAACTTCAGTAGAGGTGTGTTAGTTATTTCTATTTTATCATTTAATGCAAAATCAGTACTAAGTACGCTCTCCTACACTAGCAATGATATAATCAAAGCATTTGAATGGGTAGGAAAGCAGGAACTGAGCTAATCGGAAATCTCTTTTGCTGGCAAACATTTCACACACTCACCTTGTGCTTGGGAGAAGAGAATGAAATGTTTCCCATGTGTTACTGTGTAAGTTTTAAAGGAAAAAAGCAACTTTAGAAAATACATTAGTCATGTCTAGTAGGTTGCTAGAACATGGAAAATGCAAAATGGACTTAATTCCACTTTTAACTTGATCTCTTTTTTTTTTTTTTTTTTTTGTCTCCTCCCAGCTTTATACATATTCCTGTCCGCTTTGAGGATTCCTTTACCAAGCTGAGCATGGGAATTGCTGTTACTGAGTGACTGTCCATGTAAAGATGTGTCACTTGTTGCACAGTTTTTGCAGAGGAAAATACTTTTATTAACTCATTTAAATGCCATATTGGATTTTCCATAAATAGCATCCAAATCTTGTTCTTGGACACAGTGCCCCATCTGAAGTCTGTTCATGCTAGAAGTTGGTTTTAATGTTGTGAAATCCTAAAACCTGGCAAAATTTTAAGGGAGGGAGAGGAAATTTAACATCAGATGTAAAAGATGCTGAAGATACATTTTCAGGTTGGCCATGCATGTGACGTGGATACTGCCTGAAGTGGGTGTATGTGGGGGACCATCGTGGACATGGACAGTCGTTGAGGGTTGCCTGTGCCTAGATACCTGCGCGGTCCTGTGCTTCAGTCGGAGCAGGTTCCTGGGCTCGTTTCAGTAGTGGAACCGTGGCACAACCTTCTTGGATTTGGCAAGGCACATGTCAGCTTTTCGACACGGGACCTTATAATATGCTGCAAAGAAAGAATTCTGCGTCTTTGCAGAGATCTAGGTTTTTATAGTTCATGCTGGGCACTTGGGGTACTTGGCAGAAGAGGCCCGTGCTGCCCTTCTGCCCACGTGCTCAGGAGAGCATGAGAACTTCTGCTAAAGTTGCAAGGAAACTTCCCGTTGTTGAGGTAAAATACGAGCTATTATGTGAAATAACAGCAGGATGATGTTTTCAGATCAAATGTGCTGAACCTTTGTGATTTGATATTACTGTACAAGCCATGCAAATTGTCTTGATTTAGTCAGGAAACAGCGAGCAGAAAGTTAATAAGTATCTTAGGACTAGGTCAAAATGACAGGAGTAAATCCGTGTGCTAAATATTTGCTGGCAACATCAGTCTCTTTAAGGTAAAATGTGCAAGTGCCTCAGTCTATTGAAGGCTTTTTCAAGGATCCACAGCTTGAATTGCCAGTGTCATCTTTTGGAAATTAAAATCTAGTGGGGTTATTGATTCTCATAACAGTCTATGGAAACTTTGTGTATTGCTCTATAGCAACGCACAAATCATTTGTATATTTAAATATTTATAGTGCTATAATATTTATATTGCTTTAAGAATAGCAAGCTGCTGTGCTCTCCTGGGCAAGCCTGTTTGCACACCCACGGTTCACAGCAGGCCACAGTTCTCCTTGATCCGCACATGGTCCCGTCCTGCGGGGCCCGGTGACCCCTTCCCTGCCGGTGCAAACCACGCGCCTTGGGGTGCCAGTGCCCTCACACTTACAGCCCCCGAATTGGGCAGTTCCATTGAGCAAGATCTGGACAGCACTCGTGGATGTGGCTTCATTTTAGGAAGAGCTGCTTTTATCAGAATAGCAGCCGTGGACAAGCAGGGGCTGCGGTTCTGCAGGATGAGGGTGTCTCTGGTGGGGTGGAGCGTGTGGGGGTGCGGGCACCCCTGAGGCCGTTGCTGCTCCGGAGCTGGCAGGGCTGCCCTCGCTGGTGCCTTCTGCCAAGAAACATCCACTGCTGCCCCTTGCAGGAGAGGGAAATGATTGCTGAGTGCAGTGGGGCACTCGGGTAAGTGAGGTGCCCAGGAAGGGGCAGCTCTTGTGCGGGGCCCCGGCAGGCAGGAGGAGCAGGGATGGGCTGGGGGG